TAATAATAATAATAATAATAATAATAGATGATTAACAATATTAATTTTCACCTAGAATTCAGCCTACTCAAATAAAGAAGGAAAGAAAGGTAAAGTCCTTCTCCTTTTTTTTACCTGTATCTGTATGCGCAGTCAGGAGAAAGGAGCAGGAGAAATGTGTGTCAGGTGGCAATAGACATTGCAGGATAAAGGCAAGGTTGCAGCAATGCACCTTCATTTAAAAGCAGATCATAATTTCATTACCCTGACTTCATATCTGAGGTGAGGGTGTTTTAACGTTAGTGTAAAGCCACTGATAATTGGTTGACTAAGTGCCTTCACATTTTCACCACTATTACGCCTTCAGTTTTATTAAACAGCACTTACCATATATCAATGAAATATTCATTGGTCTTTCACTACTGAACGAATCATTGAAAAATCATTGCAATGAAGGTTAACTTTACTTTGGCTTCCTGAAATGACATGGTACTTGCTAGCTAATTAACAGCTATTTTTATGGCCTTCATTTGGCTTGAGAAGCAAACTGTCAAAGAATTCAGCACAGATCCACCACGGCTGATTTTAGACTTAAGGGGACTTTGCAGAAAGATGAAGGTGTTTTTTAGCTCTTCATTCCCACCCACACTGGATGGCTCACATGGGTACCTGGTTTAGCTCACTGTGATCCCCTCACCCCCATAAGCCCAAGGCAGCTGTAAAATCAATTCTGTAGCCTAAACGAACATTTTTCTACCTGCTACATATTTGAAACATACCTGTAGCTCCCAAACCACTGAGTCATGGCCTGTCCTTGGCCTTCAGAGGCACCAAAACATTTCCCCCCCACCTTGGAACCACTTGCTCCCAGACAGAATTACTCAGCAGAAAATACTCACTTTCCATTGCCGCCCCAAGGTGAGGGGGCCTGTGAGGCTTTTGAAGAGTTCTGTAAGTACAAAACCAAAATGTAAATAAAGGTGATGCGAGTACATGAACAATGATGACACAAGGCTTAACACTCCCTGTTTTTGTTGCAAGAGCTACAGTGCACGTAGCAGAACAGTTTTGCAGATCAGTCCCATAATTAAATGGCTGAAGGATGATTGTAGGTTCCAACTAGTAGCTTGAAAGTCACTTGATGAAAGAGGGAATGCAGTAAAGTTCCAGGAAAAGCAGATGTAGTTCACAAAGAAGTAGTTTAATCACCACTGAAACTTTTTCTAGAAAGTTCTTCAGAGTGTAAATTACTTCTTTAGGGGGACCTGCAATCTTTTAGTTAGAAATAAAAAGAATTTGGGTTGATGCCTTAATGACAATCCCTTCCAAGTTGCTAGCGAAGGTGGCTTGGGATTCAGATAATAGTAGAAATAAAACTTCTAGGAAGGATCTGCTTGAACGCCCTTGCTTTTATGTATTTTATTTGCACAAATTGACTTTCCTTACCTGCTTACTCATTCTGCCTTTCACATCTGTGCAGCACCTTGTACAATGCTGAACAAAAAGATTGACCAGCAACAATAAAGTCCAGATTTTTCCAGTCTTGCTCAGACTGGGTGGTACCTTAATTAGTTCCCATAAAAAGTGGTAGTATCAGGGCTGAAGCTATTCATGTGTGTCTTCTGAAAACAATCAGTCTGAGCTCCCTTGCAAAGAAGTCAGCATGCACAGTGAAAAGTCAATCAAATTTTACAAGTTCTCTGCAAAGTATTACCATCATTATTACCAGATTCATCTGGTTACTGTAATCGCTATTTTGAATGAGAGGCACTGAGATTCAGCGGAGCACAGAGCAGCCCAGGACGTGGCCCAGGTCACGCAGCTGACTCTGGGAGCAAAATTGCTCCCTTGACTTCTAAAACACAGCTAAACTTGCCAAACAGTATTGACCAAAGCAGAAAACACTGCCCAAACCATGATACTGGCCTTGCCTCTATGTTCCTATGCAGCATGCCACTGTGTTTCATTAAAGATGTGAGCGTGAAATGGAGTGTTTTGCAGTACAAAGCATATGTAATGTTGATTTTTGCCACTCACTCACATGTAAGAAGTAGGGAGATCCTAAACTCCCCTGGAAAGTCTTCAAGGATTAAGAAGTAGCTTTGATGTTAGTTTGTATTTTCAGGATTGTTTCTGACAGTATCTAGAGATAACTACTAGATTTGTCAAGACTAAGACTAGATCTCGATTGGAGGTGGTTATTTGGCAATGAACATATTCAAAATATTTTGCCAATGACTATTGACATTTTCAAAACCATAAAAATGTTTCTCAAACTTTTACGTGAAATGCATCAAAGGATGACACTTTTGTTAATCTTAAAAAGCTTGATTTCAATTTCAAAAATTCATAATTTTAGTTATACTTTACTCCAAGTCACCTCTCAATTTCAAAACTACTTTTATGATTAGTTATTTTCTGTTTTGAAATGTCAAAAATATAAATTTGAGACTTTTAATTGGAAATTAATCAGAACCAGTTCTGTCCACAAATGGCTTCAATTTGGACAAAGTGGCATTTGTGAGGAGAAATATGAAAAACAATTCTGCCAAAAAACTCCTTTCCAGCTCTGCTGTAAACAGTGGGCTGTTTTTCACGGTTCAAATTGTGCAAAATTTTGAATAACAATGCTATTCAAATAGTTAATCTATTTCATTTGTATTACAGATTCTTGCTAGTGAACACAGAGAACATTGTGCAGCAATACAAAGCCAATATGTAGCTAATAGCTCCCATTCTTTTCTTTTCTCCTCCTATGCCTTTACTACAAAAAGATCCTGAACATATAATCTGTATACACTCAAACACTGCTTCTAGCCATGGAGTTACAATGCCCATAGCACACACAGAGTAACATTAGCTGAAATACTCAGCTTCAAATGGATTCCTAAACCCAGTGTTCCCAATTTGTCTATTTTATTACGTTTTTCAAGGGTTTTTTTTCTCTTATTTTAATTTACATTAAAAGACATTTTCTCTGTGCGGATGCAGTAAAATGGTCTTATGCTGGGAGTAGTAATATGTTCCTCATTGTACCTATTTGCACAGCTAGAGAAAGTAAAGTGGCTTTAAGGGAAGAGAGAATCTCCTCCGCTCCCCCCCCCCTTTTTTTTTTTTAAGAAATCATTACTTTCTGCAGAAAAAGTTTATCAAATGATTTGTCTAATAACCTTTTTTAAAGAGACAATCTACATTCTTCCTGGATAAAATCTGAAGTGGGTAGAATACATTTCATGAAAATGCTGAGGCTATAAATGTCTCTAGTTCAAATTTAATTTGTTGTGCAAATCCCTGACTGAAAACTCCATGAGTACAACACAGGCACTCCTAATGACCTCAAGAGAGCTTCAATTTCAGCAGAAGATGAGTAGTAACATTACTGAAGTAGTAACATTACATCAGGGAAGTCAGGACTAAGGGACAGTTGCTAGCATGATAGTACTGGACTTTTACAGCAGAAGGACCATTTTATCACCATTTACACAAAAATATTAAAACTGCAGTGTTAAAAGTTTACTAGTTTGCAGTACCACTATGTCAAAGCCTGGAACAAATTCACAGAGGCTGAAAAAAACAACAAAAAAGACTGATGGGCTGACAAACCACTATAATTACATAATTATAGAACAATATGTAGTAATCAAGTAAAAGAATTAATGTATGCTTCAAACAGCATTACCCAGTAAAATATAAATATCAAACCCATGTCAGAACTCAAGAAAGATTCTGTTTCTCTCTTAATTTAGGAATGGTGAGGACTTGTCATTCTTACACAGCATTTGACAAAGTAAAGGAAAACATAACTGAGTCATAACAATCAGCTGATCTCCACTCAATTCAAGGTAAAGGCAAACTTTCAAGATGTAGATAAGGCAATGTGAAGTTCCACAGAAACAAAAGGAGAAACCTCTGAGTCTGCAATAAGCTTCAGCAAATCTCACTGAATTTAAAATCTAAATTTAACTAACTAAAGCCTAAATAATTGCTTTATTATGGTTCATTGGGGGTCAGTTCATAATCACTTGCACATTGAAATCTTGAAAGAATCAGTTTCCTTTACAGAAACTTGCATAAACATTACATGGTGTTGAGAATAATGTTATTTTAGTAGAATTACTGAGCATGGTCCTTTGAATCAAGTGACTAATCCCCAAATCACTTCTGTCCCCACTCCCTGGCAGCCATCCTGCCTGCATTTCCCAGGGGAGATGTTAAATGTGGGACTTTTAAGTCATGCAGTTATACTTGTGAGAGCTCTCAGTGCTGGTATGAATTTCATTTCATATCAATAAATTAAACAGAATAAAGATTACCTTAAAATATTCCATCAGAGATCTGGAGTACTTCATAGCATGGTCCTTCTTTAGTTTAAACATTCTCAAGTAGAGAAGTGATAAGCATCGGTAGCTGTGGTAATTAGGAAAGGATTATGTTAATTCCATTGCCTAATGAAACCTATAAAGTGTAAAAAAAAAAAAAAAAGCTGACCTATATTTTGCAGTTTCTGTTCTAAGGTTAGATTTTGAAACATAAGCAAGTGGAGAAAGAAAAAAAAGTGGTCAAAAGCATTAAACTCCCATCTTGATAAGAGTATAAATTAGAAGAATAAATGTTTAGTCAGCTGCTGAAGAAATCCATTAGTTATCCTTTAATAGTTTAATGGAAAACAAGAATAATGATCTTCTGTAAGCTGCTTAAGTAATTCAGTACTTTTAAAGTCCTCCTTAAGATTTCAGCTGCTTCTCTCATCATCGCAATGGGACTTACCATAAAACTGCTAATTTCTTGTCCCCTTCCGTGGCAGAAGAGCCTGTGAAATTCTTGAGTCTCATTGCATACCTTGTCAGAAAGATAAGGAGAGAAGAAATTAAGAGTTAAGATGTTTCCAGGAATACTAGTGACACTCTGAAAAAATAACAGCCACACATAGATACTCTTTTCCGACTGCAATAGTTCATGGTCACATTGTTCTGTAACAATGAGATCAATGTAAAATCCAACAGAAAGCACCACTTAAAATCTAGAAGGCTAAAGTAAATCACCAACCCATTTTCCGGGGCAACGAGGTGAACTATTCTTGGGCATATTAATGATATTATATCCAGTCATCTAGGCTGAGTCCTGCAAACATTTGAGATGAGTGTTGGACAGAAGCATAAGATCTTGGCCCTATATATATTGAAGAGTAAAGTAATATATAATAAAGTTTTATATATAATACTTTGGACTTGAATAATAACTTCAAAATCCTTCTCATAAATGCTTCTTCAAAAGTTTTACCATATTTTATACAGAAAACAGTTTTAAATATAGGAAAGGTCATGTTCACAGCTAAATTTTTAGGTCCATTAATTTCTGAGTCTTGTGTACTTGGTTTTCCCTCTCTATTTAATTGCTGCTATCCAGCATTTGGATGATCAAAGACTGAGTATTCCTACCTCCTCTCTTTTTTTTTTTTTTTAAAAAATATATTTTATTTTAACTGAGCACACTCCATTCCATGCATTTAGTCTCTTGAAAATCAATTCATCGCATAAAATCATTGTTCTGAGCCCTAATGCAATTTCACAGGTACTTGTGTTAGAATAAGTAATAGGGTTCAGTGTTGCATAAGAAAGTTTTAAGGTATCCAGGCAGTCTTGATGAGTTCTCATTTACAAGGAGGTAATGGAGTGCAGGCAGGCAGTGCTGCTCTCACTCTGCCTTCCTCCCACCACCCCCATCATCAGCCCCCAGCTTGCAGCTGGAGCACACCACCTGATGTGCTTCCTCCATGTCCTATCTCACCTGCTCTTTGGTATTGTTGTTCCAGTCATACTGAATGAATCTGATCAAACACAAAGACGTACGTCTCTTTGGGATTTTCAGTGTTACGTTAGGGATTTTAGCATTACCATTAACTTAGAACACCTTTGACAGTCAGATCTGATATTCCCAATCTCTTTGATGTTCCACTTGCTTTCACAAATAGGCGTCTGATGCAAATGCTGAGGGCAGACACAGCTAATGCAAAAGAGGAAAATGGTGCCTCTGGTGAAGGGAGGAGTAAAAGTGAGAAAAATCTCCTTCTATTTCTTATCTCACAGTAAAAATCTGTTAACTTAAGAAGCCACATTGAGAAAGTGTGTGTGCACGGCCGCATATACTTGGTTTGTAAATTCAGCCCACAAGAATTGTGCATTTGTCCATGGACTTTACTGAACCTGTACCAGCCTGCTGCTCACCTGGGCAATCACTTTTTTTCCATGTCTGACCCCTGACAGCAATTAAATGGGCAAATCAGTCTCTCTCTGGCTGCATACAAGATAGATAAAAGAGTTGGTAAATTAAGCTCTACCTTTGATGGTAAGTGGTGGAGTTAATCTCATCTGACTTTAGCTATTTGGAAATTAGAAATCTACTATAAAAAAGTCCTCCAGATTCTTCCCTAGCCAAAAGCAGTTCAAAAAGCAATCCAAAAGCAGTTCAGGTGCTGCTTCCATGGCAAGGTCTACTTATCATGAAGCCCGTAGCAGGACTGTGCTGATACAGGAGCTGCTGGGAAAAGCAAGGCAGCGGGACTACATATGCTGATGGATGCCAATGGCTCCAAGATGCAGCCGTACACTCAGCCAACTCCACCCAGCACCAGCACTGCAGGGTGGAGGGGAGCTGCAGGTCTCCTCCACTTGTGAGCTACTCCTAGAGCTGCAGTTCTCCAAGTTAAGTGGTACATGTGCTGTGGCTCTTGAATGAATGAAGAATTTTTCATCTATCTGCTTCTGAACAGACAGACTGCTGGACTGAGGAACAACATTTTCAACTGGGCCATGTGGTTTCCTTAAAAAATATAAATAAATGCAGGTTCCTATGAAGAAGCACTCACTTTAAAGAATATTTCTTTAAATAGAATTTATGCTGCCATACGACTGTAGCTGTGTAGTTCAGGACACAAAGTACTGAACTGTCCGCTGTCAGAGTGCAGGAGCTTCAGCACAGTAGAGCAGAGGTAGGTGGCTCCTTCTCTTAAGCCCTCTGCTCTCAAGGGTTTAACTCAGATTGTAAGTGTTGAGTGAACATCATTTTTTGTTGAGTAATCTGTTTAGATTTTCTCCTTCTCTTTATGAAGTGTGGAAGGTAAAAACATTTTTAAATATTTAACAGGCACATTATTTACCTGAGAATAAGAGCTTCTTAAAATTTGATACATTTTATTATGTAAATACCTACTTATTCGAAATGTAAAACATACATTAATTTTGGCAGTCCCTAATAGCTCATCTGGCATGTTAAAATCCTGTATGTTAAAAAACCACCTTTGTCATATTAAAAACCAAACATTTAAGGCCTGATTTGCCTCCTTTCCTTTCTCTTGTGAAAACTTCCAGTAGTTACACTGACAGTAATGGTGGTACTCCCGGGATACACTGGGGAAAGCAAAGGTGTATCACAGTGAAGAGGAAAAATCCTGTTGTTCTACTTACAGGTAAATTTAATCCTGCTTGATTTCACTTTGATAATTTGTGCAACTAAAGCAAACAAGCTCTTAGTTACTCAGGATACCATTATTTTTACGGAGCCAAGACTATGAAACAGTAGTAGATTTTAAAATAATAATTCAGGCATTTCATTAGTAAGTAAAAGCATTCTCATCCATATGCTGATCTACAAGTCTACAAAACTATATTAAAACTACTTCAGCTGGTTCACATTCCTTTAGCATTAAAAAATATACTTTTTCAATACAATGCATGTGGAAAGCTTCCTCTCTGGCTATGATATTATGTGACACATTTCAGCTTTTTTTTTTTTTTTTTTTAGCAGCCAGGTTATAAGCCTCTAAAAACAGGATTTGTAATAGAAATCCTGATAGACTCACTTTAATATTTTGAATTATAAAACTACACCTTTTAAAAGACAAGTGTCATTGCCAAACAGTGAAATTACTATACTTTACTTCCACCCACTACATTTCAATTTTAATTTTATGAATATTGCAAATTATAACACTGACATTATAACCTCTAAAGGGGATAATTTATAAAAGCAGTGTCCATCAATTATAAATTTTCCATGACATTAATAAAATGGCAAGAACTAATTATGATGACTTCTGAGATGAAGATGCCTTGGACAAATCATTAATACGTTGAAATGGTATTTTTTAAAACATAGCAGGTTCTAATTATGACTGAAATGAGATTATGAAAATGATCACAGAAAGGACATTAACCTGATGAGTTCCACAGTCTCTGAGTACATGGTGTATGGAGATTTAGCTTCTAATGGATCTCGCTCCATAGCATTCCCACACTCGATGAAGGAGAGGGCAGCATCAGCATAATTCACTGCTTTGCCGAACTTCTCCAGCTGAAATGGGAATGACACCATCAAGAAAATCCTTCAGCTTTAATTTCCAGGTAGACAGATCATAATACAAAGCAACACTAGCATTAGGATGAAAGCAACACTGGTAGTTAAGAATGAATTCATACAGCAATTAAGGCAGGATCTATGTTTTTACCAAACCTTTTCAGGCAGTATATGGCCAGTTATTCCACAGAGGAAAGTCAGTGTGTGTCCATGGGCATGCATGGATTTACACAGAAACACTAAGCATGTTTGAACAAATCAGTACTGCTCCTCCATATATGAACTAAGTTTGAATGTCACTGTTCAAGGGTTAAGTAATAACTCCATGACATTTGTCAGATGTCACATTCTGTGTTAACTGTTGACCAAAAAAACCTCTCATCACTTATGTGATGACTGAAGGAGCACAAAAAAAAATAAAAGGAGAAAATATAGCACTGCTAAATATTTCATTTTACTAGGATTTTATTGCAAAAGGTTTTAGCCCTCCTAATGGTTGTGATTAAACTGACTTAGACATACTGATTTCTTTTTTTATGTGTAATGAATATTATATATGACATTTTTATAGTAAGTATTTTATAATAGTATTTAACATTCTCAATTTTTGATAGCTGGATATAAGAATTCTACTAATGTGGCATTTGATATTAAGAGATCCAATACACTTTAAATAAAGTAAAAATTTCTTTGTATGTCTCTATCAAAATATTTTTGATGCATCTGCATATGTTTTTCATTCACAAAATGAAAATCTATCCTAGCAATATATTGAGCGGAACATTTAGTATTGGTCCAAGATCCATATTTGCCTTTGTGGCTACATCTAAGCAATCCTTATAATGCATTCCCTCCGCATACCTTTAATTTCAAGTTCTGCTCTTGTGCATTGATTATGTACAAAGCCTCCGTATAATTGATAGGTATTACTTGAATGATCACAAAAGGGGAAACGTTCCTAAATATTTTCTCTCTATTCCAACAGCCACTTAGCATATTCTTTAAATTTCTTGCTTCAAGTCTTCCAAATACAACTTTTTTGTGGTATTTAAAAAAAAAAAGGAATCTGGCTGCAAGCAGATTTAGTACAGACACACAGTTTGAGCCAGAAATGAGATCTGATCCTGCTCTTTGCTCCACGCTAACTCTAGTGGAGTAGGTGGAAAGACTCCAGCTCATCAAAGCTCAGCCAAGAACAGAGCAAGGTCTCCAAGATCTCTTCCATATGGTACAGTCAGTTGCCACTGCAGCAGCCCACCTAAATTAGTTGATTCCTTACTGCCATCCCAGGCAAGGATAGGTTTTGGTGGGGTTGCTTCCATAAGATGCAAAATGCCTTGCCCTTCACCAGAAATCTATCTTCCATACAAGCTCAGCAACAGCATTGCCACAAATCTCATTAACATTTGCTAACACATTCTGAGGTCACATGCATTATCTTTCTAGCCACTGCAACACGTCTTTCAATGCTGTGTGTGCTTTGTCATGTCAGCACCAAGTAACCAGAAGCAATTGTTTCCATAGGACAAATACGGGATTGCACAGCAAATGTGTTACATGGAGATAATTTGTGTGCAGCTGTATTGGGTGGAAAAAAAAAAGTTGAGACCTAAATAGCGGAAAGAAAAAGCAGATACTTTGTTCATGGGTATTTATGTCTGCCAACAAGTTGTATCGTAGTGGATGGCCTCACATTCCCATAAGAGCACTCCGGGTGTCAAACTGCATGTGACAGGCAAGGCCTGCCTGCAGGCAGCAGCATGATGTGTGGTGCCTGCTCCTCTTAGTTCTGCTTGAGAAACAGCCCTGATTCCGCAAGGCATAGTCAAAGGTAAGAGGATGGGAGATAGGTCAACACTTTCTGAGTGAATCAGGCTGTGGAGGGAAGTGGATTGACATAGCACGTTGAGATCATCAGGAGCCTGAGCCTGTAAATATTTGTTAGTGTGGAGAAAGCATCCCTGCACCAGAACAACGTGTATTTTCTTTAAAGGTCAATCAGCTGTGGGAGGTGTTGTCAGCCTGCTTCTGCCAGCCTTTCCTGCGTGCAGATGTCAGGGCTCTGGCTGAACATGCCCTGCTGAGTCGGGCTGCAAGAACCAGCACAAGCCACCTCCTGTATCTGGGCAGGTCGGGAGGCATGACTGCTAACTTACTGACTGCCAAAAACCTGAACCTACCTCTCACAGAAAACACACTTAGTAACACTGTGCCCCAAGTCAAAAGGGAGCCTGGAGAGCTGAAGCAGGCAGCTTGACATGTTAACTCTCCTTCAGCTCACCGACAGCAGAGGTGTCTCTGATGTGGAATGATATAATATGCATAGAGAAAATCCACAAATAATAAAATAACAGGTTATTTTTCAGTTGTCATTTGAGGGACAAAGTGAATGGCCAGACTCTATTTTAGACGTCTTAGTTTAAATAGAGGAATCAAGTTGCACTAAGCCTGCCTAAATAAGCTGCTGTTCTGCACCCTATGTAGCATACAGGAACAAAGTCCCTACCTACAAAGCAAATGGCTATTAGAGGAATTCTAGTGCTAGCAATAGCTTGGATTGAACAAAAATAATCTGTCAGATTAAGCACTTCTATCAAAATCAAAACACTTTGCAAAATTAGGTCAATCTTAATGGAATCTCATCTGGGGTAAAATGAGAGAAAAAGCTTTCCCAGCATTGAACTACTTCATTGCAAGATTTTTTGGGAAGAAGCATGTTCAGTCTTTATTTACCAACTTAAAAGCAAGCAATAAAAATGAATGTTCTATTTAAAAAATCAATTGTTGCAAATTTTAAACAATTAGATGGGAAATATCAAATGGTTTCACCACATGATAATGGGGTGGAGGGCGATTTGCCTTTCTTAACTTTGTTTGGGAATATTTCATCACTTTTGTTTTAGGCTCAAAATGAATAGGAACACAAATTTCAAATACACATCATCTTTCATTAAATTATCTTACATCCTTCATAAACAGCGTGACTGTTGTTCTTCCTCATTTTTTTTGGAAATGAATTGTTAAAGGCTAGGAATGGTGCTCAGGGTCCTACATGTTGTGGACAGTGTGTATAAGGAATACAATCTGAAGCATATTTTAATCAATCGCAGAGTTCCTCTTGGTTTCTGAGGCTTTAGATGACATTCAGAATGTACATTTTTGTAACACCGAGCTCCATAGTGGAAAAAAACAAAAAAAGCCTGTGATAACTTACCAATGCATCTGCTTTATGTTTCAGCTTCTTAGCCTCTTGCATGTAATAATCCGCATTGTGAAGCCTAAAGAGACAAAAATCAATTATTTCAAGTCTTTGTTTTCATACAGTTGGACAAACACTGTTTGAGAAAGTTGCTGACTGCTTCCAAGAACAATTTCAACATATATACCCACTTATCTTTTTAAATCTTAACCTGATATTAATCTGAAGCTGCTATATGTAAAGATATGATGGGTGATCAGAATGTAAAATAACTAGCTGTAGAAACTGGCCACCCAGAGGACCCATTAATGTGTGCTGAACAGAGGAAAAGGAAAAATATTTTAAACTAATTAAGTATAAGAAGTTTCCGTTAGAGGAGCTAAAATAAAAAAAAATGAAGAAGAATTACCATGAACCGACATTCATGATCTGAAAACATTTATCAACAGAGTCTTCATTAATCAGTGACAACAGTTCATTTATAAAGATTAAAACTGTGTGTGCCTTTGTGCAGCACTATCCACACAGGTGCCCAATGCTAGTGTTATCATCAAAGATATTCTCTTTCACTGGGAGCTCTGCTTGCATGAAAATCCCAGCTACGTAGCACGCAGCTAGCACAGAAATCCAATAATACTTACACATCATCAAATGTTATTTTGGGTCTTCTGGGCTCAGAATTCCCATTGGAAAGTGTTGGCATTGCAGACCAGATGTCTGTTTCTAGATGGCTGGTGTCAAGAAGAGGGTTGGCTATTGGTGTATTGTGAGATTCTTCCTCCTAGAAAAAAAAGGACTGTTACTAACTCTTCATAGTTCAAAAAAGCACCTTCCAACAATGGAAGTGCTCACATTCACCCCCTCAAAAAAAACCCCAAACAAACAAAAGGTTAAGGCTCAAAGTAGCACTCGCATATACTCAACTACATCCAGGTTCTCTCACAAAACCACTTTCCATCCTTTCTAACATAAGCCTATTAGATTAATTAGACAGTACAACTGTACCTCTGACCGCTCACCTGAACTCACAGTTGAAGTCAGCCTGGATACCACAGTGTTACTGACTAGAGACACTGGTCAAAGCAGGGGTGGGGAAATCTAATGCAGAAGGGCTGGATGTAAACTCAACTTCATTCAAGGTATATCACATAGTGTAACTTTTTTTTCTGTATTATTGTTAGCTAACTGTAAGGTGTCTGAAAAGTCTGCTAAGATTTCAGCAACTAACAGTATCCTTCCCCTTGCTACACAGAACAGAGAGAAGAATGGAAAGCAGAAATCAGGAGTTGTGACTTTGCATTGATTAAAACCAGAAGCAGAACAGAAGCATTTAAGTCAGGCAATTGTAACTTGCAAGCTAGGTCCACAACCAGATAAACTAAACTACAGATGAACCAATGAACTAGGAAAAGAAGTCTAACATATTTTAGAAGACAAGTATTTCATGTAGCAGGATAACAGATAAGCCAAGGATAAACCTGACTAGAGGTGCTGGGAGTGAGAGGAAGTGGCCCTGCTGTTTACATAGCATTGTTTATTTGCTGACATATGCAGTTCATTTTGGCATTGATTTCAGTTGAAGGCATGTGTATTACTCTCGCAGCTTGCAGTGACACAATGATATCAGAAAGCAACAGGGATGAATGAATAAGGTGAAGCGATTTGTCACCTACGATCCAATGCGACTTGTGAATTTTACTATTACAGTGCAGGGTAACAACCTCTCACAAAGCGGCGAACTGTGAAAAATGGGGCTATGCATGTCCTTTTCTGTGGCAGAATTGTCTTCTTGTCTTTTAATTCTGACAATGATACTAAGATACAGTTTGATACTCAATGATATGTTTGAAACTCTAGAGGGAGAATATTCTCTAAAATGGGTCAAAAACCTGAAGTCTCTTTGTTTAGCCTAGAAGAAGATTACAGACTCATGGGAAATTTTACTTTTTTTTAGTGAATTTGCTATGCAGTTTCTAGTTTTTGCTCTTTTTTCATGTATTTTCAGGAAAAAAAACAACCCTCTGAATCTTCTGAAAGAACTGTCTATGTGAAAACTTTTGGTGGGGAGATGGCCCTAACAGAATTATGGGGTTTTTTGGGGAAAAAAACCCAACAAAACAAACCTATTTACACAGTATCCAAAAACTTATATATGTAATTCATGGAGATCAGGTGTAAATAAACTTTACTGCTGGAAGCTGGGGGCCTGCAAACATGAGAGAAAATACTTCCATGTTGAGTGTGCTATGGACAGGTAGCTTTTTGTTAGATTTTTATTGTCTGTTTAGTTTAGGCTGCAAGATTCAGTAAAACTACAGTGTTTAATTCTGGCTGAGTATTTGGGGTAATTATTCAGCTGATGGGTACCAAAACTCTTGAAGTTTTATTTTTAAAATGTGCATGTTGTAGAGTTAAGGCACTAATTGCAGCTAGTTGGTGGCTGCAAAGGCTCTCCTCTGAGGCTCAGGTACTGGGTGTTTCAGGGAGTGATACACAACGCCAAGTAGATGCCTAAAGCTGACCTAAAAATGGAATTTGTAACAGTTGCTTATGCCCAGCTCTGCAAACATCTACTCCTCGCTGCTCAAGTCACGGTACATAAACATTTAATAATAGATACTGGGGGAAAAAGAAAAAAAAAAAATCAAACAGAACATAGCTAAGTTAATTTTATTTTATCTCGTTCACTTCCTACAACTGAGTTCAGTTACTTACACAGATTCCTTTGGGGTTAGAAGAGGATTTATTTTCATTCTTTCTGTGTTTAGAAACAGAAGAGGAAGAGCTGCTGGTCTGAGAGGTGTTTGTGATGGTGGTCTCTTGGCTGAAGGAGCTGTTGTCACTGCTGTGCCGCCGGTGCACAGGCTCGTCCAAGAGGGGAGATAGTGGAGGAGGGAACAGCTTCTCATCTCTTTTCTTTGCCACCTTCTTCACTGAGTTACTGTTGCTCCTGGGACACAGATAAGAACCAGTTGCATTTCAAGAACCTTGGTTAATCCTCCATAGCACAAAGCTCTAGATTTTATTTACTGAGAAGCCAGCTCTACCCTCAATATGTCCTGCAGTCCCCATGTCCTAGGAGTCAAGTCAAAAGGGGACAGGCAGTGAAAACAGAAGAGCGACGTCTTCCTTTTCAATGGCTGCGGAAACCTCCTGCTTTGGAGGACAACTTCCAGTGCATTAGTACAAACTGCACCCAATTTAAATGCTAATTTGAGTCAGTCTTCATTTGAGAGGTCATAGATGCTCTGACTGAGCAAAGTGCTGGGAAGTTTTATGCGTGGGACTAGTTCCTTTGACATAAAGTATGACTGTTTGTGTGTTTAACATTAAGCCTCTTTTTAAGAGGTGGATTAGGGCCCACATAAGCAACCTTTGCAAAAAAACTTTATAGCACATGGCATGTGAATAAAAACAAAAAAAAAATATAACAACTACAAAATGATAACCATAACAATAACAAGATAATAATTATTTGACCTCTAGAATAAAACCAATGTTCAACACTATATTAAAATGATACATTGCAGCTGGCAAAAGTCCTTGAGCAAATACTGGTTGATGAATTGAACACGATTCAGAAAATGAATGTGGTTTTGACATGAAAGCTCAAGTAATATGATAATCTATTGTCTGTTTTATGTACAGAAATTGTTAGCTGGCTGGAAATGGCAGCTATGATACACAGTAAAAACAAAAAAGCCTGCTACACCTTTCTCCCTTCAAATCCATCAAAAAAAGAAAAAAACAAAACCCAACACCTCACTAACTGTTTAACATGTTAATCTACTCAGAGATTTTTATTTCAGATACTGTCCTAGCTCAGTCAATTACGAGAATCTGAATTTTAATCTTTTGTTAGACATCTAATATTGCACTACACAATCATTTACTTTTCATTATTATTGACTACAATTTCAATAACAAATCAAGTCAACAAGAATTTATGTTTTGTTCTCAGACACTTTCAGTCAGTGTCAGGAATTATAGATCTACTTTGCTTTAAAGTAACCAGAGAAAGAGAAGGCAACTCAAGTTCCCTTATTCCTCGTTCTGGAGCTCTTCCTTCCAGTCCAGCCTGTTTTGCAGTTTCACCAGCAGTATCAATATCTACACCTGCTTTGGTCATTTCCCTACTTTGGACCTTTGGTGATAAAAAAATATTTTAGCCTATCTGTGAAATCACAGAGTGAAATCAAAGTCCCCATGTTTCAGATTTATAGCTCTTGTACTCAAAACTACTTAATTTGACTGAAGCAGAGTTAAAAATATCTTATTTGAAACTCTCTGATATTAAAGATCTTCAGACTGAAGAAATAAAATGAGCACAGAATTCATGTTGCCTTACAGTATGACTGGTATGGATGCTGTCCTGCTGAGAAAACACATGAGCCTGAAGAAGATCAAAGGGAAGCAACCAGGTTGGAAGAGACTGGCAGTTCTTCAAGAAGACTGATTTTATGCACATGTGGTCCTGCAACATGTCCTCCAAAAAGTTCTCACTCAAAGCTCCATCTGTTAGCTTTCTTACCCAAAAAGGGCATTTTGGAACTCAGACAAGTTACCAGAGTCATAGCAAAATAATACTGTGAACTTCTTCCAGAAGAAAGTTTTCCAAAGGAGGGTAAGCACTGCCCCAAGAAAGCATACATGTGTAACTGGATGTAGAGGCAAAGCAGACACAGTTAATGAAACACCCAGGAGCAGAATCCAAACCCTCTGCCTCCCAAACAAGCGTCCTACACAGGGAACTCTGAGCATGCATATATGGGTGGGAGCACAGACTGAAGTGGTTCTCCACACCCCTGTGCACAGAGGTGCATGGAGCTCTTCTTTCTCCCTAGTACAGCTTTGCAAAGGGAAGAGCAATCAAGTCTGGTAGATCCATCTCAAAAGTGTCTGAAGAAAAACTGAATGTGAGCCATTGGCATCCCCATTAGGATCTGACTCTGCACCACTACAGAGGTTCCTCAGCACATCCGTGGCTATTTCCAGGGCTAATGCAGAACTCCCTCGCTTGCACAGTCTACCACTGCATGGGGAAATTTAAGGAACATATAAAGCAGTTGAAGCAACATTCCTCAGCTGCTACATGGAGGTGGAGGGATTAAGAGTAGTACAAGAAAAAAATTAAGAAGGGTCCAGATACCATTGTTAAAACCTCACTACTTAAAACCACCAGCTCACTTCATCTTTGCACTCAAATATAAGATGGGGCAAACCAAGATACAGGTGCAGCTACTCAGCTCTGGCACACAAGTCATTCCATGGGTGGGAAGACTTAAGTACAAAGGAAAATGCAGCTGAGGGTTTTTTTTTTTTTTTCTACATAACTCCAATTAAAAAACAAACAAAATCAAACCAACAGCAACACTACTTCATGATTATAATTCTGTCTAGTTTTTTTTTTTCTTTTTTTCCCCTATTGCCCACTTAATCCTATGAGTTTTCAAAGGAATTAAGATGGTAATTTATTTAGCAGTTACCTCCCTCAGATTTAGGCCAAAGCATTTATGTTAACAATAACCTCCATGAAAGAGGTTGTTACCAGCAGTTAACCAGATTGTCACTTTGCTTTGGGCTCTTAATGGTCTAAGAAACTGGTCTTTGATTGTAGTAATCACTAATTTTGAATTAATTTATTGTAATAATTGCTGAGACTCAATGGTTTAATTTGCTGACATGATTGTTAGTTAAACTATATTTAAAATCTAGGAAGAAACACAATAAAAGTGCAAGGAAAAAATACAAGCAGAATGGATGGTCTTGTGGCTGCAGGGTTTCATCTTTATGTCTGAAAAGGCCAATTATCAAGGAACGAGAAGGTTTTTTTCAGCCTGGTTTCTTTTAGGGCAGAAAGCAAGCAAGCAGGCAACAAGAGGACAATGTGTGAAGGAGAGAGAATTTCCATCTACTCTCACATTTCAAGCTGCCTTTCTTTGCCCTTTCTTTATCCACTCCTCATGGTATGCAGTGGTATCTCTGGCCTATTAGTGAGACAAAACCTCTGTCTATACCAATCACTTGTCTTTCCTTTGCCTCTACTCTTCCCAACCACAAAGAAATGCTGAACATTGACGGTGTATCTGATTTTCTGTAGGGGGTTAGCAGGGAAAGGTCACTCCTGCATTAGCTCAGACCATATGGCAGCAACTGAATGAAGCTGAAGTCATTGTCATAGATGTAGTAGGCTGCCTCTGCCGTGAAGGAACCCAAATGAACGCTGTTGTGACTACCCAAGGGATTGGCTAAAATATGTTGCCGGGTACAGGTGCATCTTTAATTAAAGGTCAAACAAAAGGGAAAAGGAAATCTTGAAAAACAGGCTGAAATGCTTGCCTCAAACAGACTCCTAGCATGCCTGTTAGACAGCAGGCATGTTTCACTGGTATGAGCCTAGCTTGAGATTCAGACTCACAGTTTTGGTGAATAGTGCTCTGTCTAGACTGGGTCTATCAATCAGGTGTTCAGACAGAAATGGTATTCAGCAGCACATACAATTAATGCTTAAATTAAAATGACTCTTGCAAGCAAGTAAATACGTAAATAATCCTCTGCTGCAAAGTGGGCAGCTGATCTGACAAAAATCCAGCCTCCCAGCAGTGTTTCAAGGTATTACTATGAATTGGACAAAATACAGTATCTTCTATTCCCTCATTTGCTGTGAATTATCAGAAATAAGGAAAATACAGTGGCAATAGTTTGAATAATTATATTTTAAGTGTCATGTCAGATTTAGGAAAAGACATCAATGCCAGAGTGTGTGAAGGAAGGAACAAACAAGAGAGATAACTAATCGCTTATGCAATGACTACATAATACAAACAGGATCTTTGGTTGTGCGAATGGCTTTTAAGTTCACAAATGACCATTTAAAATTCTTACACTCAAATGGTATATGCAGTCACAGAAACTTGTGTAAATTAGGCATATAATTGACCGTATTAGACATGTAACTTTTAAAAATTAATTGTGCATCTTTGCTTGCTTTATTGAGCCCATATATTTAGAGAAAAATTATGAGAGATATGTATTCAAATGCCTAAACCATAGACAGCCAGCCAGCAGGAACTGCAAAAGCACAGGTGTGGCCTATCTTTCACTGATTCCTCCAGACTCTTGAACACCTCCAAATTTTGGCCCAGTAATCATAGTCTTTCTGTTAAAACACTCTTGTATCTATAAAAAAGACCCATGAAAGTCACTGAAGTCTGCCTTGGTGAACTTGGCTTGTTGGCACGACGATCAAGTTCTAACAGGAGAGACCTAAGGTTCCTCCTGAGTGAGAATATCCCCCATGGGACATAACACCTTCTTCATGGATGAACATCATCATCACATCTGTAGTTGAATCACCCTCATTTCTTAGAGTCCTTACATAAAGACTTAGGAGTTCTGAAAGAAAACATAGAACCTCTGGGAATAAAGGAGCAAATGGCAAAGCCTATCTATCAACCTTTTACCAGTGAAGTGTTATTTTCCCTCACGCCCTTGAACAGTGTACTTTCAGCTTCCTCTTTCTTTTGTCTCCCCTTAAAACTCTACTTAACCCCCTGGAGAACAGAACCACTTCTAACTGCTTAAAAACAATCTAGGGTTCTCCAGAAATTTGCCATCATGCAGTTCAGCCAGCTCCCTAATCTTTTGGGAAATACATTAATCTATATTCAGTTGCATGTCTCTGGGAATTGAAGATCTGAATTATCAAAAAATATTGCATTTGTTTCAAGTGAACTCGGAAGACACTAATAACAAATGCAGTGTAATCCAGGTCTCAATCACTGCAGTGGAAAAAGAAGTCAGAAAATTTTTTCGAAACCTGAAGCAGATGAGAGGAAAAGCTAGCATACAGAAATAACTATTGATGGACACAAGTATATTTTAACAGAGAATACCAAAGGCTTGAAAGCTCCGAGGAATCAAATTAATGACCTGGAAAACAAGCTCAAATTAAGAAACATAAGGTTGGGGGTGGATCCTTAGGGTTTGCTAGCGACAAGAATAGAAAGATTTTTTTAATGGATTGCAGAGGTGTTGAGGATGGCTAATCCTTGTTTCCCTCTGCAATATATCTCTGCTCATTGTGTTTCTAGCAACGACAATCAAGCAACACCCACCATGATGTTTATCAAATGCGCAACATGTTACAGATCACACTAACTTTCAACTCATCTACCTTTTCCAGACTCCAGCTCTTATTTTCTCAGTGGCAGAATGAGGAGTTAGTTCAAGGACTGAAGTTACTCCATAATTACACCAGTATATAAAAAAAATGATGCTCAACCTTCTTTATGGATTTTAAAATTTGTGTGCTATTTCATAAATGATTTTTGAACTTTATCTAAATTTAAATACTACTACAATCAAATTGATTTCAGAAGCACATTGTGGGTTTGATTCCTTGCTTCTCCTAACGCGAAGCAGAAAGAAGTGTCTCATCTCAATCGTAAAAGCACAAAATTGATGACAGAAGGGAATTGGACTCTTTGGTTATTTATAGAATGTTAATCTTGTGATTATACTAATCAGAATCATTATTTACGTGGTGCCTGTTTGCTCAAGCATTACAGCCATCTCTCAAAGACACTGTGAAAGGCACAAACTATTTGATTATATGTCTGCTGAAATACAAAGCACTTACGTCTGAAACATTTAGGATGGTCACCCCTTGCGTTGCTGTATATACAGTTAAAGAGTAAGAGCTGCTCAAGTGAACAGCAAAGTCACTATTTCATTCAATAAAACAGAGAACTATCTCTTATGAAAATGATTTCAGAAAAGAAATTCCAGGCAATCAAATAAAGTCCACTTCTAGGAGGACTGTCTGGCCATGGAGGTTAAGGATGGTGGGGACAAGAAAGAATCACAGAATTACAGAATATTAGGGAATGGAAGGGACCTCAAAAGATCATCTAGTCCAATCCCCCTGCTGGAGCAGGACGCCTAAACGAAATTACACAGGAAGGCGTCCAGGCGGGTCTTGAATGTCTCCAGATAAGGAGACTCCACAACCTCCCTAGGCAGCCTTTTCCAGGGCTCTGTCACCCTCACCGTAAAGAAGTTTTTTCTCAAGTTGAAGCAGAACCTCCTGTGTTCCAGCTCACACCCATTGCTCCTTGTCCTGCCATTGGGCATCACTGAGAAGAGCCTGGCTCCATCCTCATGACATTCCCCCTTAACATATTTATAAACATTAATTAGGTCACCCCTCAGTCTCCTCCAAGCTAAAGAGACCCAGCTCCCTCAGCCTTTCCTCATAAGGGAGATGCTCAAGAACTTTGAAAGGATGCAGTATGGGGGTAGAATAAGTACACCAGGATTGTGATGGCACTCTGAATTCCTGTAGTCCATCAGAAGGATGGATGAATCTCATCCAAAACTATGTGGATCCTCTTCCTGATGGATGGGAATAGCAATGCTGGACCACTGATGCTTATGAGCTGTAAAACCCATCTGGCTCTACAGCAAAGACATTTGTAGAACAGTACTGTGAAATCCCTCATGAATTTTATGGGGGGAAAAAAAAAAAGAACTTACTCTTTAGTGCTGGTTAATCTGTGATTCGGTATCGGAGAGATACAAGGTGGGAGCAAGCATGAAGCTGAAGGGTCCTCCAGGCGCTGCTTCTTGCTTTCAACAAAGGTATCCAGGCTTTCTGTCTGCTTTAACAAAAAAAGTAGAGCTTGAAAGATCCAGCATCTATGCACAATTTCACTTGCCATTAAGAGAAGCTCAGGAATCTCAGTGTATTTCCTTTACAGTAGCAGAAGTTAAAACACTGGTCTAATAGAGGAGAAAGTCACCTGAAATCAGGGCTAACTGTGCTCTGAACACATGACATGAAATTATATAACAAGTGACATAGCCAGATAATTAGGAAGCAAAACGCCTTATGTGCTATAGTTATCTTCTGTAGTGCACTGGAATTTAATTAATAATTCAGATGGAATGAGTTGATAGCACCAAATTTTACTCAAGTAAATAGCTTTTACTCATTCGCTTAATGGAAGTTGATGGGAAAACTTTCCTGAGTAAGTATTCCTCACAGGACTAAAAGACTACAGGACTGAGCAGGGGTAGTCATTAACAGTGATAGCTGGTTTAAAATTTGCTTTGAAAGATTCCCTGATGCATGACTTTTGTGCCTGAACTAGGATGATAGAGGCAAAGCTGATTACTGCTCTGTCACTGGAACCTTCATATCAGCCTTCAAGCCCACTAGTAGATGGCTAACGTAAATCTTTTAATAGCATGATTTAGAAACGCAAATCAGGCTCTCCCTACCCTGTTTTAACTGTTGATATACCCTCAAGTCATCCTAATTGGTTTGTTTCCCCTTGGGTAGCAGTGAACAATCACACAGCAACTGAACAGGGTGTTTCAGAGGATAGCTTATGTTTGTACAGTCCCAGAGCAAGATTCCTCATTTTGTTACTTTCTGAGTCAAGGTCCCAGCTAATGAAATTATAAGGTTCCAACTTTCATATAACCCCCCCGGGAGCCCTCAGTTTCTTTGCTAATACTCTTGTTTTAGCCAAGATTCCTTCTTGACCATACTGACGCTCCACCGATTTACCTAGCAAGACTTTTATTGTATAATTAATATACACCCTGGTGTACTTATACATACACATAAGCATGGACATTTATACATCCCTTTCCTCTTTCTTCTTTTCTCCTTCTTACATCTCTGCCTTTAGTATACAGCTAGAAAATGAATTGAATAAAAACCTGCTGAGTTTACTCATGTGACTATTTCCACTTAATTCAACAGGGAAGGAGCCAGTGCAGTGACTCATGTAGGCAGGGGTGCAGACCCTGTGTCTGCCTGGCATTGTCTTTGTCTTGTATTAACTCTCTCATGCCACTGGACTGCTTAAACTCAGGATTTCAAGAAGTCGACTAGAGCAGACAGCTGAAGTCACATTCACAACCATGTATAAAATTCGGGGTACAAAAAAATACACTATGATGACTTCTCACAGACAGACCAGAGCACAATAATTTCAGCTGGAAAAACTGACTACAAAAATTCATTTATGATATAAAACTTCAGTTTCTTTTCTGAAAATACATTTAGTTTGAAGTACACTGTTATATCCCACAAGGTAGGATACCCTTGGGCATAAATAGCATAAAACACATGATAAAACATAATGCCTTAAGTCAAAATATATTTGCTTTTTCAGGTAGCTAGATAAAGTAGCTAGTTAAGCAAATTATATTTCTACAAATGACATTTGTTTATACAATAAAACAATATAAAGACTAAATTCACCAGGAGCATACGCGAGCACCGTTCCATTGATTTTGATGAAGCTATGCCTGTTTAAGCCAGTGGTGAAAACGCATTAATTCTGCAGACAATAAAACCCTGCCTTCCAAATAGAAGTCCCATTTTCTGAGTATGGCTAAACCTTTAGTAATATGAACTCGTAATTGGGAATCTTTCTGCAGATTACAGGACACTGGAAATTAATGGGTAAGTGAGCAAATACAGTGAAAAAGCTTGTAAGATAAATCTCAAAAAAAATACATTGTTCATTGATTCTGTCAGCTGGACTTTGTTTTTTTACTAGTTTCTGATGCTAATTTGTAATGCACTTGTAAATGTATATCCTGTGTAGCCTTAGTGTTATGATGCCTCCTTACAGCCCTGCTGCAGGTGTTGTGAGTGAGGAGTCACTGACTGTGGTCCTGACCTCAAGGATGCACAGAAATTAAGTGTTTGCCTCCAAACGATGAAAATGACTTACCTTGTGTTTCCTTTTAGATTTTGTGGGTGGTTTTTCAGCTGCTGGGGTAGGGGACTCTCGAGATGGTCGCCTGTGTTTCACATTTGCCTCTCTTGGTTCACTTTTCACAGACGTGGTCTCAAAAGGCTCTTGTCCAGGTATCCTAGAGAGTAAACTAAGGTCTATTTTCACCCACAGAGATTTGAGTTCTTCATATTCTCTCAGTGGGGACAGAAGTTCGTTTTGTACAATTGGGATAGGAGAAAAGAGCTGCTCCTCCAAGTCATTGCTGGTCTGGTCAATGGATGTGTTGCTGCCATTGCTAGTTAAACTACTTACGCTGAGGATGTTACTGCCAGAGTCCTTCACTTTGACACCATTGCCAGACCCAGGGCAAGCTGGCAATACCTTAGCCTGCAAGCTCTCCTCCTGGTCTGTATTCGAGTCAGAAGTAGATGAATCTGTTTCAATGAATTCCCGGGACTTTGGGACAATTTTGCTGGGGCCTCTGTACTTTTTCTTCTCTGAAGTGAGACCTGTGCTAGTTCGTGGTTCTTTCCTTGGAGCGGTCTTCCCAACTGCTGCTTTAGTTCGAACCTTTGGCTGCTCAGGGGGTTCCTGTGTGTCTTTTTCTTTGGGAGTGTTGCTGGTATTATTTGGTTTGGGCCAGTTATACTCTTCTACACTGGAAGTCCTTTCTACCTTTTTGGGTTGCTTTTTCCCAGTAGTCCTTTGTGAAGTTGGCTCATTATGAGCTGGTGACTTCTGCTTGGAGCTTTTTGCCTCTGGGGTTTTCTGGGCAACCCGTGGTTTGGCTTTCTCTCGGATGGGACTAAGGATTGCCCGGTCTTTGGAATCGGTCGGGGGCAGGCTGCTGTTGAGTTTCCCTTTGTTTGGCCCTTCGGGCTGCTGGTTGCTCTGGGCCTGGGAGCTGGTCTCGCTGTGAGGCTCATTTTGATTGTTGATGATGGTCTTGTTGTGGGGGTTCACTTTATTTAGCCATTTATCCAACTGCCATTTGTTTGTTGAGGGAGGTTCAGGCTGCAGTTTGAAGAACGATAAGGAACAAATCTCAGACAGAAGCAATGCTTTTCCCTTTAAATGAGAACATTTTTAATGTACCCTTTTATTTCAGTCAACTAGTGATGACTGCTAGTTTTATGGGAGTATTTATGGAGTATTTATGGTTAATTAGGCTTCCTTATCTGGTTTACAATGTGGCCCTGGAGAAATTTAATACAACTAAAAAGTTTAGCTGGTCCCTGAAGACATAGTTTTGTTATGTTGCCTTTCCTTAGTCCCAGATGAATACTATGTCAATAAAATCTTCTCTAGCTACTGGCAAAAAACTAAATATTTCTTTAAAGCAATTCAAATGTAGGCCAGAAGGATTCTTCCAAAAGCTAGAATGAGTATGTGGGTCATACACATAAAACTGCAAAGACAGAAAAAAGTCGTCAGCATCAAACAGCACAGAACTCCAACATTTTCCCAAAGAGCAGGATTTCACTCCCTTTCACACATTCCCCTCTGAGCCCCGACTGGGGAGGAGCTGAGAGTGTGGCTTTACCTCTGGCGTGGCACTGCGCGACTCCTCGTTGCACTCGCTGTCACTGGAGCTGCTCTCGCTGTCAGAGTCTGATTCAGAGCTGCTCTCGGACTCGCTGGAGCTCCCAGAACCACCGCTGGAATGGGCCAAGCTGGCTGCATGTGCCGCTGGCGCTGGCAGGCTGCTGTGAGGAAAAATCCTCTCATGTCAAAATG